GCTGACAAGAGACCTCGTATAAGCAGGTGTGGGTGAATTAGAGGCGAGGGTTTGCCCGGTGCCCAGGAGAGGTCCCACCCAGAGGCGCTGGTGGTCGTTTTGAACTGAAGCCGAGGGCGTGTGAGCTGGCGCATGGAGAGAGCCCAGCAGCTCGGAGTTCCTCTTCCTGCCGCCCCGTCGCCCCCCACGCCGCGTCTGAGGACCACAGGCCATGCTGGGTTTTGAGCCAGGAATAAAAATGGCAAGAAAGGTGACCCCTCTTGAAACAAATGAACTTCCTGAAGACAGAATTCACACATTGGGGTGTTGTCATACATCAACACAGATTCCCCACAAGGAATCTCCAAATCTCAAAGTGTTAGAAGCAGAGCAGGGCTTGAGAGATGGACTCAACCAGCTCCCTGATGCCACAGATGGGCTCCCCGGGGCCTGAGAGGAAGGCCCCACCGCCACGCCAGTCCGCAGCCGGGCGCAAACCCGGGGCTCCTGGCTTCGGTGGCGGTTCCTTCCCCGCCCGTGAACGTGTGCGGCTCCGGCTCCCGCACCTTCATCTGGGGCTCGCCGGGCCCTTCGTGTTTGCAGCTTTAAAGGCAGGCTGCAGTGTTGGACCACAGATCTCCGTGAGTTCTGGTTAGTAGAAAAACACACCTTTATGTGGGACATTTTCCACAGCGGGAAACTCCGACGTGGCCTGGCAAAGGCAGGGCCCCTCCCAGCGATGCTCTGCTCAGCGGTTTCCTTCCTCTGGAAAGAAGGGGCAGTGGGGAGCGCTGCAGTGAGGCCATGGAGCTGGGTGCCCGGGAGCCTGGCCTCCTCCCACTGACTGGCGACCCCAGGCCAGCCCCTTGGCGGGCTGCATCTTCTGTGAAACAGACAGGTAATAATCCCCACTGTGCGGGCCATGGGGAGTGAATCAGCCGCAGCGTCTGAAGCACCGGCACACGGTGGCCGTGAGTGCCCGTGCCTGCTCCAGGAGTGAGGTGCAGGTGCCGGACGCCCCACGTTCGCTCCATCCCTGGCCCTGCTCCGTCCTTGCGTTGTGGTTCTGCCCAGTTACTTACACCCTCTGGGGCTCAGTTTTCTCGTCTGTACTGTGAGGGTAAAATAATAGCTAGTGGATAGGGCTGTGGTACCAGCGGTCCGCAGAGGCACCCCAGGGTGCCGCAGCAGACTCACAGGGGCGCCGAGAGGCATTTTTAATCTCCCAGGAAACACAGCAGCACTGGACAGCTGCCAGCCACTGCGACAACTTCTAGCTCAAGACAGCTCGTAACTTCAGCATTACGTCACGCTCCTTTCCTTTCGTGGTCTTCGTGTCTGCCAAGCTGGGGCCTGGGCCTTCGGAAGCACCCTGAGACAAACAGTGCAGGTAGTGGTGTCCACTCTGATTCCAAGATTTGGGGACTTACACAGAGCCCAACAGGTGTACACACCCCATTAGTCAGGGTGGCTGCTTGGGGATGGAATGCAAATGTGTTTTTTTTTCTCTAGATTTTTGTGCATTATTTTTTCAAATGGCTGCTAAGGTGTTAGAATACACACACAAACACTCTTTGGATTTAACTACTTAATAAACAGGACCACTAGGAATTTCTTATGGCCTTGCAGTAAAAATACCAAGAAAAATTACTGGATAAAAACTACCAAGATGCTAAAGACCAAAAAGGTTTGGGAGCCTCTGCCTAGGGTGGTTATGGGGTCAGTGAGTTTATGTGAAACGCTTTCTGAAAGCATCTGGCGGAGTTAGCACCCAGGAACCCGAGACTCCGTCTTTCTGCTCCCTCCAAGCTGGCTCCCACGGGGCGGGCGCAGGTAGCCCTCATCCAGGATACCTGTGGAGCCGCCCCCAGCTGCTCGGGCAGGAGCCAGGCCAAGGAGGAGAGGACGTGTCCGGCGGTTAGGGCAGGGGCCCAACTCCGCTGCTGCCCAAGCCCTGGCAGCGGCTTCCAGCCCCCTTTTATTTATCCACACTCACCGAGCAACTACTGTGTGCTGGCCAGCCTGTCGTCTGCCAGCGGTTCCTCTGGGGAGGAATCTCAGGTCGGCCCCTCGTTCTTCCCCTTGTCTGCTGGCAGCGTTGGCCTCTAGGATGCCTAGGAAGGGGGTGGGGATGCTGGCAAGTGGGCAACAGCTACGTCGAGAGCCACCGGCGCTGCGGTGATGGAGAGGCGCTGATGAGGACGCTCAGGCACATCCTGCCAAGGCCAGAGATGCGTCTGTGCCAGGGCCCGGAGGAGGGGTGCGGTGGGGGCGGGGCCTGCCGCACTAATGGATGTCTAATGTTTACTTTCCTCGGTCGAGTCTGTGCCTGCTTTATAAACACGCCGCATTAGGGATATAAAACAAAGTCATAAATACAGCCCGCAGTGCCTCGGAGAGCCAGGGAGCCACCGCCGGGTGGGCTGGGGCCCACGTGGTTAGCAGGTAGGGTGAGCACACAGCTGTATCCAGGGGCTGCCACTCACCTTCCGGCGTGGTCACCAGCCCTCAGAGGGAGGCCCAGTCCCGCCACTTCACAGAGGAGAGGCCAGCGAGGCCTGCTCCAGACCCCAGGGTGTCTGCGTCTGAAGCCTGAGACTCGGCCAGAGACTGAGGTGGGGAGCTGGTGGGGGCGGGGGCCGTGGGGCCTGTCAGGCTCTCGGCTGCCCATGCCCCCTCAGCTCCAGTGTTCTCTCCCTGAGGCTGCCCGGCCTAGGGGAGAGGCCACCATGACCAGCTCTCGGGCCGCTGGGAGACCAGTGTCCAGCTCCCTGGGCACAGTGTCATCTCAGTACCAACTGCCCAAGCTCCCGGGCCCCCGGGCTACCAGTTTCCCCACAGAGAGGGAGTCCCCCTGCCTAGCAAAGTCCCCCTCCCCTAGCGAGTATCAGGGAGCCTGGCCTGGCTTCAGGAAGCCCCGGTGCTCTCCCAGGTCCGCTGCCCTGTTGGCAGCTGGCCTCCCATCACTCACTGGCCTCATTGGGATGGACAGTTTCCTCAGCCTTGACACAGAAAGGATGGTTTTAGCCTCGCTGGACCTTCGGTGAGAGAGCCCGCATCGTTAGAGAGTCCTGGACAGTGTCGGGGTGCATTAGGATTCTCGGGGGACACCCACAGTATGTGGAGCTACTCCAGTGAAGTGTGGAGTCCTGGGCAACGTCCCAAACGCTGAAGTCTGTTTCTTGGGTTCAAACCTTGGTTCAGCCTCTTGCTAGCTATGTGCTCGTGGGCAAGTCGCTTACCCTCTCTGGCCTGAGTTTCCCCATCAGTAAACTGGGGGGCTAATGTGAAACACCTCACCAAGTCGTCACAAGAATTAGGTACATTTTTCAGTAAAGTATTGTAAGCAAAGCACCTAATGTGAGGTGAGCATTTGTTGACATTTTAATACAGTAACTGGTACCTACTATGTGCTCGGCCCCTCCTAGGCGCTCAAGCATGTTTATCTCATATGATTCTGCCCTCTTCTGAGACGAAGGAACTAGGTTGGAGTTAAGAGGCCGTCCCTGGGCCACAGGGAACACAGTGGATGGAGCTGGAGTCACACCCCTTCTTGCTGGCTTTTCCTTCTCCCCCCTAAGGGTTGATCTCTCTCTGTCTCTCTCTCTGTCTCTCTGTCTCTCACTCTCTCTCTCTCTCTGTCTCTCTCTCTCTCTCTCTCTCTCTCTCACACGCGCACACACACACACACACACACACACACACACATCCCAGAGCCTGGAGCCGGTGACAACCCATGCATTTTCAGAGCTCCTGAAGCACCCCCAGTGTTAGCAGGAGCTGCTGGCGCACAGAGAGACAACAGGGCCTGGGCGTGTCAGGCATGTGGGGTTCATCCTGCTCTGGAGGACAAGGGCGTGATCCCAGGGGCTTCACGGGCCTCCAGGCCCCCAGCCACACTGGAGGCGCTGGAGGGATGGGACAGGGACGGGCCTTAGCCGGCGGGTGAGGGCGGGGCAGATGCGGGCACCCCTGCAGCTTAATTTGTTGCTTCCTCTGGAGCAGTTAGCAGAGGAGGACAAGCTCCCTACCGCAAGTCCCCTACCGCTTGATCGTGCGGTGCTTGGCATTGGAAAGTCAATTTTCCTAAGTGGATTGTGAACCAATAGCCTGGCCCAGCCTGGTTCCCCCCTCCCAGCGCTGGGGGCGCTGCTGCGCTCCCTTCCTGTTTGTCTCACCTCCCGAGGTGCTGTTCTTTCCAGGGAGGTGGGCAGCCAGGGTTTCCTCTGGCCCTTTCAGGGAGGAGACTGACAGCCTCATTGTGTTCCCAGCCTCTGGATTTTCCTCATCCTTAGGGCAGAGGGTGTGCATCTGGCTGAGGTGAGAAAGGCTAGGGGGTGGATCAGAGCCTCAGACCAGAGGAGGGAGGCTCGGGGTGGAGGCTGCTGGGAAGGTTGTCTCCTGCTCCTTGCTGCCACCTGCCTGGGACCTCCTGGGGGAGGAAGTGGCCTGCCACCAGGCCAGGGGGCTCTGCACCCGGGAGCTCAGGCCTGGTTCTGCCGCCACCCCACCCCCACCCCATGCCCCTGCGGATCTTGGCCCTTCTCCCCACTTCTATCAGCCTGCTTGGCTGGGACTGCAAAGAGTGGCTGAGGCTTCGGGCAGCCTCCAACGAACTATGGCATCGCCACGGGCAACCGGGGAGGGAGGCCGGCCGGCTAGTGCTAGTGCAGGGGACGTCGGGGAGGGCTGGAGGGCTGGAGGGCCTTGGGGTCCTTGCCTTGAGGGGTCGCCTCCCCTCCCCAGGCCACCCAGATTTCTCCATCTGTAAAGAAGTATCATACACAACATCACAGAGCTGGGGCTGGCTCCACAGCAGAGCCATCCTGCAGGGCAGGGTGGGGAAACTGAGGCCCAGGAGAGCCAGACCTTGCCTGGGTCACAGAGCGCATCTCTAGCAGGTCTCTTCCAGTGGCCCCCTCTCTGTGCCATGGGCCCCTGAGGGATCAGCGGGTGACCTGGGCCGCCGTGGCTTGCGGCCTCACAGAACCCTAACCCTCCCTCCCTCCCTCCCTCCACAGGCACTGATTCAGGCAGCGAGGTGCTCCCTGACTCCTACCAGTCAGCACCGGCTGAGCCGCTCCCCCACTTCCTCCAGGAGCCACAAGATGCCTACATCGTGAAGAACAAGCCTGTGGAGCTGAGCTGCCGCGCCTTCCCTGCCACACAGATCTATTTCAAGTGCAACGGCGAGTGGGTCAGCCAGAATGACCACGTCATGCAGGAAGGCCGGGACGAGGCCACTGGTGAGTCACCCCACTCTCCCGATCACCCAGGACACCCAGACCCAGGGGTGCCAGGGACGCTGGGTCCTGGGCTTTGCTCCACCTAGACCCTGTGAGACTTGATGCAGCCCCTGGGCCTCAGTTTCCCCTCTGTGGCACCGCCTGGATCAGCATTTCCCCACGGGCTGGCACATGTCGCAACCTGACCTCGGGCTCTCAAGTGAAACAGCACCCAGTCCCTTGCCGGGCTGAGTGCTTGTCCCCTCTCCCAGTTTCTTTCCTACATGCCGGTCCCTGGGGACAAGTCCAGGCGGGGACCGGGTTCTCCACCAGCACCCCAGCACAGGCTGTGCGCACAGTTGAACAGAGAAGGGCCGGCCCTGCCCGGACGCCCCGGCCTCGCAGCGCCCAGCCGGGGCGCCAGGCCATTGCTGTTCTACAGGTCTTCTCTGTTTGGGGGAGCGGCACTGTTCCCACTCACCATGATGATGCAATGTTCCCTTCATAGAAATGGATTGTTTTAGTTCTAAAAAGGTTAATAATACTAAGTAAATAATCGTGGAGGTGGCCCTAGGACGGAACCCAAATCCTGAGGGACAGAGGAGAGTGTCCGAAGCGTTAGACCCCTCCTTCTGAGGGGTGGGAAGCAGGAGGCAGAGCCCCGGCTCCTCATACCTCCCCAAGCCTGGCCTGCTCCAGCGGCATCCCCCCCGCCCCCCGCCCAGGCCAAGTGCGGGGGAGGCCTGTCTGTCCCCAGGCCCAGCTGCACTATAGGAATCCTTATGGGTTACAAAGGCTTTCCCAGGGCTCAGGACAGGGTGGGCCCACCCGGGCGGGCCCACCCACTGCTGGCCGCCGGGTGTCTGGCAGCCCCACCACCCGCGGGCTCCAGGAGGCCCCCTGCCCCACTGCCTACCTTGGCTTCCATGTCTGCCCTCTCTCCCTTCACCCTTCCTTCCTCCTGCGTCTCCAGCTCCCTCATTTCTCCTTCTGTCCCCCACCTCCCCTTCCTGTCCTTGTCTCCCCGCCGTGTCTTCTCCTTGTGTTCCCCCCATCTCTCTCTCCCCCGACCCCCACTCGCCTCTCTCTTCCGTTCCCTTTCTCTCTCTCAGCCTCACGCCGTGTGTCTCCTGACATTCTCTCTTATTCTCCCTCCTTCTTCCTCCCTTCCCCAACTTCTGTTTTTCTATGAAAAGCTCACACATTTCAGAACCACCCAGGCTTAACACTATATCCCATGCTGTACTTAATACCACTGAACTAAAAATGGTTAAAATGCTAAGTTTTATATCATGTATATTTTACCAAACTTTTAAAGGAACTTTTAAAAATAGACTTGGAGTCGAATTCTCACCCAAAATCTAAAAATAAAAAAGGAATTTTTAAAAGAAAAAAATACATATCCCAGCTGCCCCCACTCTGTGGCTGTGTGACTCTGGGGAAGTCACTCAACCTCTCTGAGCTCATTCCTTTCTTCATAAACAGGGGTGTTGCTAGAAGGTCCTGCTGAGGATGCAGCACGGTGGTGTCTGCACAGCGCTGAGCACAGTGCCAGGACCTGTGAATGCCCATTCCCCCCATCCTCTCTCTGGGTTTTGCTTGTCCTTTTTCTTTAAAAACCTGACCTCACTTCTCTGTGTTCCTGAGCCCCTCTGGCCTGTATCAGAGGTCAGCTGTGGGGGTCCAGGCAGAGCAAGGGGACAGTATGCCCTGCCAGAGACCCTCATCGCCCCTGTGATCATCAGTAATAGTCACAGTGTGGCTCTTAAATCCCCACTACCAGCTGCACAAGCCCTGCCAGCCCCAGAAACTGGGGCACCGTTGTCCCCGTTTGCTACAAAGGATGGACGGTGGTCCTGTGGGCGACTTCCGTGGCGGCAGTGCGGCTGGTTCTGACCGAGCTCCCCAGCCCTGGCCTTCGCTGGCACTCTCCGAGGCACTGAACGTGCAGAGGATGGCAGCTGTGGGCCAGGACAGGCGGGTCCAGTGGCAGCTCGTGCCAGGCCGGGGCAGGCAGCCCAGGTCCGTGTCCTGGCCCAAGGGCACCACCTGCTGCGTTGCCGTCGTGCTAGGGAGGACACCTGTTGCTGGGGCCCCAGTCTGAGGGGCCGAGGGCCCCATCAGCCCCAGGATGATGGTGCCCATCTCTCCAGCTGGTGGGTGTTGCTGAGACCTTCTGGGTGGATGGTCCCCTTGAGGGGAACCACTGTGCCAGGCTCACCACCTGGCCAAAAAGGGCCAGGGCCACTGCAAGTGGACATAACACACCCCTACCCTGAAGCCGCTTCTTCCCTCAGTGCTCCCTAACAACAAACCCTAGCCGCCTGCCATTTATGTCCCTGGACATTAGGAGGGCCTCCCAGGGTGTGCCCGCCCCCATGATGCAGGAGAATGAAGTCAAGGGCTTTATTGGAGAGTTCCAGAGAGACATCACATGTTTGGGGCCAGGGCTCTAACCTGGCAAGACACCAAGAGAGCTGACCTCTGCTCTGCTTGCAACTTGCCATGGCACTTTTCTACTGCCACCTGCCCTGTGTGACTCTCAGTTTCTCCACATGTGAAGGGAAGGGGCTGGGAAGGGGCTGGGTGGGATGCACACGCTCTCACAGCTGGTTTGTGTCTGGCCTGAGCTGTGTGCAGAGACAGAGTGAGGGCCATGGCGCCTTTAGAGTCTACCCTGAGTGTTTTACTCTGAGGAGGGAATGGAGGCTCAGAGAGGCTAAGTAACTTAGGGAAGGTTACACAGCTGGGGAGAGAGAGGGAGGCTAGGATTCTGACTTGTCCACGTGTCCAGCTTTACACTCAACCACCGTGCCGTAGCACTGCACGGGCACAGTCGACAGTCCTGCCCTCCAGGGGCTGATCAGAGCCCATGTGCAGCCATGACAGGGTGGGCTGGGACATGGCATGGCAAGGAGGAGCAGTTTTAGGAATTCTGAGGTGGGGAGTCAGAGAGGACTTCCTGGAGGAGGAGGCTTCACAGTTCTCCCACAAGCTTTGGGGCAGAACTTCAGATGAGTGCCCTAGTTCAGGAAAGCTCGCTTTTTCCTGAGTATGGAAGGCTTTGTCAAGGGGGAGTCGGCAGAAGAGTGAGTGATTCCCTCTGTGGGCGAGTGGATGTGGCTAGCCAGGGAGGCCTCTGGGTCCTGGCAGGGAACCAGTGAGAGGTCAGGGGGCTCCCAGGAGGAGGGCCTTCCCCTCAGCTCCAGCTCCACAGGCTCCCGAGCCATGATCAGGGAGAGGCCGTGTGCACTCTTCAGATGGGCGTCAAGCCTCTCTTCCAGACCTGCGGTAAGCAGGCAGAGCCCCTGCTCTCTCCCCCGTGGGAGACAGGCAGTCAGCACCTGAGTGCACCAGCCATCAGTCCCATTCCTGACAGTGGCTGGTGGGACGGGCAGCAGTGGTGACTCACAGAACAATGGCCTGTGTAGGTCAGGGGCACCAGAGCGGGGGCGGAGCATTGGGGGCCCAGGGTCAGGCGGCTTCCCTCCAGAAGAGAGGCCCAATCCAAAGCTGCCTGGGAGTTCACTGGACACAGAGGACAGAAGAGAGCTCCAGGCGAGGTACTGGGTGTGCAAAGAGCCCATGGATAGAGGGGCAACGGTAGCACGAAGGACCGGAAGATGAAGCTGTAGTGAGCCAGGCGGAAGGTCTGGGTCTTCGTGCTGAGAGGACCAGGGTCATAACCAGGGGAATGACATGGCATTTGTGTGTTCTGGAGAGCGCTCACTGGCTGCAGGGTGGAAAGTGCATTGGATGGAGAAAGATGGCTGGTTCGAGCCATTGCAGTTTCTAGTGGTGGCTAGGGTCAGGGTGGAGGCAGAGGAGACGAGAGAAATAGGTGGAGATGAGAGGCCTGGGCAGCAGAGCCACAAGGCCCCGGGAGTAGGAAGGAAAGAGGTGTCGTGGTGCTCTGTCCTACGTTGCGTGTCCTGGGCCTGCCCCAGCGGTGTCTCTCTCCTCCTGCAGGCCTGCCGGTGCGGGAGGTGCAGATCGAGGTGTCTCGGCAGCAGGTGGAGGAACTGTTCGGGCTGGAGGATTACTGGTGCCAGTGCGTGGCCTGGAGTTCTGCGGGCACCACCAGGAGTCGCCGGGCCTATGTCCGCATCGCATGTAGGTCACGCTGACAGCCCCCCTCCATTCCCCAGACCCTGTCCCCTTCCCTGTGGATCTAGGAGAGGGGACCCCACATCTGTGGGGATATCTGGCTGAAGATGCCCACCACAGAGACACTGGGGCCCATGGACGCCAGCTCAGTGAGGGCTTCTAGACCCAGAACCTGGGCCACCTCTGGCCCACAGATCTGTAAAGGCCCATTTTCACCTACACCTATTTAAGGAAGCTGCCAGCTTCCTCACCATCCCAGACCACCATGTCCATTGGACATGAATCCCCATAGTCAGGGAGGGGGCCCTGTTCCTGCAACTTCAGTTGATAAGGTCTCACCTTGGAGAGGCTGATACTCCCCGGGTAAAGGTCAGGTGTGTCCCCGTGAACGTTCCCTGGGTATGCACTGCCACCTTGTGGCTAGAGTGGGGCACTTCAGTCTCCAGCTCTGCCTGGCCTCCCTGAGTGTGCCTTGCCCTCTCCCTTTCCCCAGACCTGCGCAAGAACTTTGACCAGGAGCCTCTGAGCAAGGAAGTACCCCATGACCACGAGGTTCTCCTGCAATGCCGCCCACCAGAGGGGGTGCCTGTGGCTGAGGTGAGAGTGGGGACACAGGGAACCCTGGGCATGGCAGGGTTCCAGCAGGCATGGTATTTGCCACCAGCCATGATGCCTCGGGTCCCCAGAGCACTCCCCGTTTCACAGAGGAAGGAGCTACGGCCTCCACAGAACACAGCACGCGCAGACCCCAGCCGCGCCCTCTGCTGGCACAACCCCATGGGACAGAGTAGAGCTGGGGCGGGATCCCCCGGGGCTCCTTGGGTAGGCCGCAGGCTCCGACTCCTTCCAAGGAAGTGGCCATATACCCCCTCTGCCCCTGCCCCACCCAGCACCCAAGGCCCAGCTTTCTGGGCAGCAAAGGGCCTCATATGCATGTTCTAAGCGTGTGCTCACCCCACAAGCTGGCCACCCCTTCCCCTTACCATGTGGTGTTTGCATCCCTGTGCAGTGCCCACCTGTCCCTTCTCGCCACCCTTGCTGTGTTCCCACTTCTTGCACTGATGATCCGGGCTTAGAGCAGGGCGTGGGGACAGCTCCGCTCGGCCGCCGGGGACAGCGGCGGAACACGGGGCCCTGCGTTTCCAGCTTGGGATCTGCCCACCTGACCCCAGAACTCTGCTCTGACCATGTAGCCGCCCCCAGGTCATGCCCCTGTCAGCACAGTGGGCTCAGACAGACATACTGTGAGACAGACCCCTCACCGGGCTCCCACGTGTGTGGGGCCCTCGGCATGCAGGCCTTCACAGCAGCCCTGCACGGCGGATGTCGTCCTCCCACGTTACGGCTGGGAAAGCAGCACTGGGAGGGGCGCAGTGGCCACCCAGGTGGCCCAGACAGTGTGTGCCGGAGCTGGCATTTGAACCCAGGGACCGTGTTCTTGACCTCTGCCGGGCCTCTCACCGCAGCGGAGGGAGTCGATGTGAAGACTCCCGAAAGCACGTGCTCCTAGCCAGCACTTATTTTATATTCCCTCGGGCCAGGTCCTCTGCTCCGCACTTGCCACGCTAACTCACTTGATGCTCGCAACAGCCGTACAGGTTAGGCGTCATTGAATTCCTTCTTAGATTTGATGAAGTTGAGACCGAGTGTGGGTCCCTTCCCAAGGCCGCCAGCTGGCAGGTGGCCGTCTTACCCACCGTGTTCTGCAGTGAGTGGCACAGCACCGGCCCCTCTGTGTCACCACTGGGGGTGAGGTGGGTGAACCGGCTGTCCTGCTTATGGTCAGGCCTCCCCGCCCGTCCTGAGAGGGCCCACTTCCCGGGACGCAGGGGAGCGGGCGCTGGGCCCTCATGCCCCCCCGCCCTGTTCCTGCAGGTGGAATGGCTCAAGAATGAGGATATCATCGACCCCACCCAGGACACCAACTTCCTGCTCACCATCGACCACAACCTCATCATCCGCCAGGCCCGCCTTTCGGACACGGCCAACTACACCTGTGTGGCCAGGAACATGGTGGCCACGCGCCGCAGCACCACCGCCACCGTCATCGTCTACGGTGTGGGCCGGAGCGCGGGTCAGGCACGGCCGAGGGAGGGAGGAGCGCCCGGGCCAGATGGCCACCAGACCCCCCCACTCCCCCCAGGACACCAGCAGGACCCTGGGGAATGGGTGGGGAGGATGAAGCCCTGAGAGGAGAGGCGCCTCCACCGAGGTTGCACAGCAAACTAGCAGTCACGTCAGGTGCTGCTGAGCCCCTAGCCAGGGGTCTTTGCTCTCCTCGGACCCTGCGCCTGTCTGTCCCTGAAGGAGAAGGCCCGGCTCTCTTGGGGTCAGAGCCAGGGCAGGCCCAGTCGGCACCCCTATACCCACGCCTGTCATCCTGGCAGAGTTAGTGTCTGCTGGCCAGGCCTGCAGGCTGCTCCTTGCTGCCCCCTCAGGTGGGAAGTGGTGGAGCCACAGCCGGGATGCCTTGACTGTTGTGGAAAGACCCCTACAGTGGGTTCCAGTCCCAGGTCCCCCATCACGCACAGGGTGATCCTGGGTGTTGGCCCTCCCTGGACTTCCATTTGCCGTTGTACGGTGGGGTGGGGAATAGACAATGTGCTCATGGGTCCCCTCTGTGCAACCAGGTCTGCCTGCTGGCATCTGCGTCCCCAGCCCTACAGGCCGAAGGGGTCTAAGGAGGAAGGGCCAGACCCGGCAAAAGGCTCGCCGGGGTGGAGGGATGGGGTTCAGGGGTCCACGGGGTCGCAGAGCCCGGCCATCAGGGTGACGCCAGCTGCCCCTGCAGTGAACGGCGGGTGGTCCAACTGGGAAGAGTGGTCGCCCTGCTCCAACCGCTGTGGCCGCGGCTGGCAGAAGCGCACGCGGACCTGCACCAACCCCACTCCACTCAACGGAGGAGCCTTCTGTGAGGGCCAAGCCACCCAGAAGACTTCCTGCACCACCGTGTGCCCAGGTAAGGCCCCCGGCTGGGCCCATGCCTCGCTCCCAGCCCTGCCTTCTGTGCCATGGTACTTGCCCATGAGGAAAGCCATTCGCTCCCTGTCGTGGGGACCGTGGGTGCTTGGCCCAGGGCCCACGGCTGGCTGAAAAGGCTGGAGCAGGCACTGCGACCTCTGGCAGCCTGCAACTCCCGGGGTAGCTGGGGAGACGGAGGCCTAGGCTCTGAGTGGGGGTCGGAGTGGCGGTCCTGCCCTCGACCCTCAGCGCACAGTGGCTGCTGGCCCTGATGCTCTGTCCTTTTGTCTTTGTCGGACTCCTCTCCCTCCGTGTGTCTGTCCATGCTTGTCTGGCTGTGGGCCCTCCGTGGTTACGTGTCTTTGTGAGCGGTGGAGTGTCTCCAGGCTGGGTTTGTGGTCTTGCGTGTGCGCTCACATGGTGGGCCTCGTCTGCATGAGTGACACTGCGCATCGACGTGGCTTCCCTGTGCCCCCCGAGGTGCCTGGCCGTGCGTGGCACGGGTTTCCCTCTGCGGCCTGTGCGGTGCGCGGTTGTGTTCTGCGCACGTAAGTGTGTGTGTGCATGCATGTCCGTGGGTACCCATGTGCTCCCACGAGCGTGTGCTGTGCCCCTGCAGTGGACGGAGCATGGACAGAGTGGAGCAAGTGGTCGGCCTGCGGCACCGAGTGCGCCCACTGGCGCAGCCGGGAGTGCGTGGCGCCCCCACCCCAGAACGGAGGCCGGGACTGCAGCGGGGCTCTGCTGGACTCCCAGAACTGCACCGGGGGGCTGTGCCTGCAACGTGAGTCCCCGGGCGCTGGGTGAGGGACCCCTGGGCTCGGCTCAGGCCCCAGGGCCCAGCCTGCTGCAGAGCAGCCCCTCGGGGCCTCTGCCCACCCTCCCCCTCCATTGTCTCATCCGTGCCAGTCTCTGTCACCTTCTCTGCCACCTTTGCCTGCCACCTGTGTCATTGTCTTTCCCTTTATTTCCCTCGACAGATAAGAAAACTCTAAGTGACCCCAAAAGCCACCGTAAGTCCCATTTCATGGCCATCCTTTCTCCTTTCTCCCTGCCTGGCTTTTTGGGGGGTGGGGGGCAGGGCAGGGGGTTCGAGGCGCCTCTCCACCAGCCCCCATGGGGTTCCCAGGACCCGATGCCACGGGAGTCACGGCCTCCGTTACATGCAGACAGGCAGACCCTCGCTGACAGAGAGGCCCTAGGGCATCACCCTGACCCTCCTGTTACAGGAGAAGAAACTGAGTCTCAGAGAGAAGGGACCTACCCAGGGATCCAGCCCGGGTTTGAACTGAAATGTCATCCTGGTCAAACCTGGAGCTCTAAGCCCCACGCCCTTGGCCTTCCCTCTCTGGGACAGGGCCGGGGGCAGGCCCACACCTGTCCGTCTCGGCACCTGCCCTGCATGGTTCCCCCGGCAGCTGGGCCAAAGCCTCCCACGTTCCTGGGGCTCGGCCTCTAGCCCCCAGAGGCTGTGTTGCACTAATACTAGAGCAATAAAGCCGCTCAGGGAGATGGTCCTGTGGTAATTAAACCACAATTTCCAAGTAATTGTGGAGTCATAAAATCAGCAGTGAGCCCCTCAGCCCAGCTCACTGCGGGACCAAGCTGTTGACTAATTAGAGAAGGTAAATCTTCAGGCCAGTGGCCCCAGTGGTTAGCAAGGACATCAGGGGCAGAGCCCAGCCCAGGGAGCTAGATGCCCCAGAGAGGTGTGAATGCAGCCCTGGGAGCTGCTGGGGCCAGCGCGGGGCCAGAGGCTGAGGAACTGGGCAGCTGTCCTGCCTGCCTCGTTAAAGGCTCGGGCCTGCCCTGGGGGGTGGGGCTGGAGGGCGTCCAGGCAGGGAAGGCAGGCCCCCCCTCCCTGAGGGCCAGGGAGGGGAGAGCGCACACAGGTGCCGCTGTGCCCGGCATGCTAGCCACTAGCCATGTGTGCCTACTTAAACTTACGTTTGCCTTAATTGAAGTTAAATACATTTTAAAATTCAGTTCCTAAGTCTCACCGGCCACAGTTCAGTTGTCTGGTGGCCACCTGTGGCTGGAGGCGGTCATGTGGGGGCAGCACGGACATAGCATGTTCCCGTCATGGCAGGAAGTCCTGTTGGGCAGCCTCACTGGCCTCTGAGTCCTGGCCCTGGCCGCTTCCCACCTGGCGATTGATTTCTAGACATGCAGCAGCCCAGCGGCCCGTCTGGGGGAGGGGCCTGCAGCCAAGGGCTGCCGCCCTGAGCACCTTCCTCCCCCTCCCTCCACCTGCTCACCTCCCCTTCACCCATCGTCCTGCACTCTCCTGCCTCTCCACCTCCACCTCCACCTTCCACCCCTCGGGACAGAACAGGAGATGGGGGCGGGGTTCAGGGCCACCACCTGCGAACACCGCTAGGCAGGCATGGCTCTCTGGTCCTCTGCACGTTGCCACAGGCTGCAAGTGAGACCGGTTTTGACCCCGGCTCCGACAGGACAGGCTGCGGCCCCAGTGACCAAACCACAGATCTGACCCCTCCTCAGCAGTGGGCTATGGTTTACTCTCCACAGGGACCGAGAGTCACTTTGCCTCTCCTTGCCACACCAAGAGGGGAGCAGGGCAGAGGTTTTGCAACCATCTTAGCTGTAGAGACTGGTGCTTAGAGAGGTCCAAGCCTCGCCCGAGGTTGCCGCCTGTCGTGGCAGGGGTCAGACTAGCACCAGGCCCTGCTTTTCCCCAGGGACCCTGGGCCTCCCCGGCTCCCCCAGGGCCTGGGTCTCTGCTCCTGCCCCTCACGCAGCCCTCCTGTCCCTGCAGCCCTGGAGTCCTCGGGGGACGTGGCATTGTACGCCGGCATCGTGGTGTCCGTACTCGTGGTGGTGGCCGTCCTCATGGTGGTGGGGGTGGTGGTGTACCGCCGCAAGTGCCGTGATGCGGACACCGACATCACCGACTCGTCCGCCGCCCTGACTGGAGGCTTCCACCCAATGAACTTCAAGACTGCAAGGCCCAGTAAGAACCTGGGACACCTGGGGTGGCAGGTGGGGACAGGGCACCAGTGGGGCGTGGCAGAGAGACCAGCTAGACCAGGGTGGGGGCTCTTGACTCCGGCCTCGGGTTTTTCCAAGTTAGTCCTCGAGATAGCTCTGTGGGTTGGTGCGGATTAGAGAGATGCAGGCAAGGAAGGGTGGTGAGTCCCCGAAGACATTTGCAGCTGGGTGTTTGGCGGGGAGTGTGGGGGGTTTGCACCAGCGGGGGCCTTGGCAGGAGCAGAACACAGGGCCAGGCCGGTGAGGCGTGCCTGGGCCTGACCGCAGCTGCCACCCCGCAGACCAGCCGCAGCTCCTGCACCCCTCCATGCCCCCGGACCTCACAGCCAGTGCCGGCATCTACCGGGGGCCGGTGTACGCCCTGCAGGACTCGGCTGACAAGATCCCCATGACCAACTCGCCCCTGCTGGACCCCCTGCCCAACCTCAAGATCAAGGTCTACAACTCCGGCACCACCGGTTCCGGGTCAGGCCTGCCAGACGGGGCTGACCTGCTGGGGGTGCTGCCGCCTGGGACATACCCTGGTGATTTCTCCCGGGACACACACTTCCTGCACCTGCGCAGTGCCAGCCTCAGCTCCCAGCAGCTCCTGGGCCTGCCCCGTGACCCGGGGAGCAGTGTCAGCGGCACCTTTGGCTGCCTGGGTGGGAGGCTCAGCGTCCCTGGCACAGGTGGGTCCCTCTCTGCTTGCCTGTCAGCCCAGCCTCAGCACATCCTCTGGGCAGCCCCGGCAGAAGATAGGACGTCCCTGGTCCCATTTCGGGGAGAGTGAGGCCCAGGGAAAGACGTGACTATGAAATAGAAGGTCTGGGCTTGAGGCCTGCCTCTGCCTCTGCCTCGCTGCTGGCGGGCGACCTTGGCCCAGCCACTCTCCACACCTCAGTGTCTTCATCTGATCGCTGGGGGAGAATGCCCCCTGGGGTTCAGCTAACCCATAGAGCTGTCTAGGTTTTGGCATCAGAAAGGGCAGAGGTGCCCATCTCACATTTCGAGCCCACAGTTAGCCGTCACCCAACGCCATGCCCGAGGCTGGAGCCACACCGAGACCTGCCGCCTCCAGGCCTGCGTCCTGTCTCTACGCCCCACCCCGGGGCCAGAGGCGCCGTGTCACCAACAGGCCCTCTGCGGTCAGTGGCCTGGCCTCCGCTTGCACTCAGTCCCCAGACCTTCTCTCCCCGCCCCTGCTGGTGGCCACCTGGAACTCAAGCGATGTCTTTCTCTCCCTGCCCCAAGCCAGAGGCCAGCCCCCCATTTCCTGTTCAGAGTTCCTGGTTTCCCTTCAGCCCCTCCCTGCTGACCTCCTTCTCCTCCTAGGGGTCAGTCTGCTGGTGCCCAATGGAGCCATCCCCCAGGGCAAGTTCTACGAAATGTACCTCCTTATCAACAAGACAGAAAGCACCCTGTGAGTAGAGGGGCCCCAGCCCGGGTTCACCCCGCTCTTCCTCCCTCCCTGCTGCCCACCTGCCTGCCCTGGGCTCGGACCAGCACCCTCTCCCTCTCCAACCTGACCCTGAGGCCTGCGTTAGTCCTTCGAGGAAAACTCGGGTAGATCTCCTGTGTCCACTCAAAAAATTTGCCGAACCAGCACAACAAATCATGTCAGAGGGGGGGGACCCAGAAACACCAGAACTTACTTATAAAAATTGTGTAGTTATGTGTTTAAACTTCAGTCGCCTTCAAAACACTCGCCATTTGATGCATAATACCTATCGAGATGTTTTCCCCACCACTCAAAATGGTTTTTGAACTAGTTGTTTTGATGCCTTTTTGTGCTTCTGCTATTTCACTCCCCCCCACCCACATCAGTAAAACATTTCCCTTTGAGGGTTTTTTTCATCTGGGGAAACAAAATAAAGTCACTCTGAGGGGGACCAAGTGAACAGGGAAATTGAGACACGGGTTTTGTGCTGTTTTGGAGCAAAAACTGCTGAACACAGCGCAGTGTGGGCAGGTGCGCTGGTAGATCACTGGTCATGAAATGGGCAAACACATTGACAGTTTCCCAAAAAAATTTCACTGGAGCAGAATGCAGCCTCTCACAACAATTCCAGCTGGTACAGATGGGTTCCTAGAACACTCACCTAGCAGGCAAAGCCTGTGCTACAAGGGGCCCACCCTCCAGAAGGTAATTCCAAGAGGGGTTTTTGAGGCCCCCCCTCATAACTTGAAAGGCAGTTTACAGATTGGCCACAATAAGACAAAAGTCTAATCTCCTTACAATGTAAACAGGTTTTGGAGACCAATGAGAAAAACTGAACATCTCAGTGCAAACATGGGCAAATGACATGAACAAGTGATTTACACACACAGTGGCCAGTAGGTGTGACAAACTGTGTAACCTACCTTGTAGTCAAATAGTGACTCAAACAGCCGTGAGACACTGGGAGTTTTTTTTGCTTTGTGAGTTTGTAAAGATTTTTTCAAACAATAATGCCTTCATACGGGCAAAAGCCCTCTGTGGCGTGCTGGTGGAAGTGTAGAGTGATATCAGCTTTCCAGAGGACAGTTTTTGTGAGGTTTTTAAATATTTTATTTATTTATTTTTTAAGAGAGAGAAGGGAGGGAGAGAAACATCGATCAGTTGGTTCCCTCTTGTGCACCCCTAACCAGGGACCGGGCCCGCAATGCAGGCGTGTGCCCTGATTGGGGATCGAACTGGCGGCCTTTTGGCTCAAAGGCCAGCACTCAGCTCACTGGGCCAGGGCTTCATAGGACAGTTTAGCACCTCCTTTTAAAAACACTTAAAGAGTACAGAGTCTTTGAAAATGTGAGCAAAGACTTGGCTGTGAGGATGTCATAGTGTGATAGCAAAAATCTGGAAACAGTCTGGAGATCTACGCCATTTCTCTGCCTCCCCTTAACCCCCAACCTCTGGGAGCCCCAGGGGTTGAGCAGGGACAGAAGTGGGGGCCCCACACTCATCTAACTGAGTCCTGGCTGAGCTCCGCAGCCCTCCCCTCACTGCCTCCCGCCTTCCCCCAGCCCACTTTTGGAAGGGACCCAGACAGTATTGAGCCCTGCGGTGACCTGTGGGCCCACAGGCCTGCTGCTTTGCCGCCCTGTCATTCTCACGGTGCCCCACTGTGCCGAAGTCAGTGCCAGCAACTGGATCTTCCAGCTCAAGACGCAGGCCCACCAAGGCCATTGGGAGGTGAGGAGCCAAAGCTGGGGGACTGGGCCCACTATCCGAACCTGCCTTCTTTCCCCTTGGCCCACCCTGGGTGGACCCCCTCCCGGGCCTTGACTGCGACCTGTCTGCCCCACCCCCATCCTCACCTTGCAGGAGGTGGTGACCCTGGACGAGGAGACCCTGGACACCCCTTGCTACTGCCAGCTGGAGGCCAGGTCCTGCCACACCCTGTTAGACCAGCTGGGCACCTATGTCTTCACGGGTGAGTCCTATTCCCGCTCGGCAGTCAAGCGGCTCCAGCTGGCCATCTTCGCCCCGGCCCTCTGCACGTCCCTGGAGTACAGCCTCAGGGTCTACTGCCTGGAGGACACCCCTGTAGCACTGAAGGTAAGGCCAGGCCGCAGGTACCCACACAGCCCTGGAATGCTATTAGGTACATCACCCCCAGCCAGCCAGCTGCATGGTATCTTCTAGTATCCCCCTCCCCAGGACCGTGGTACCTTCCAGGCAATCCTCCACTACCATCAGCCTCACTCAGTCATTCGTGCATTCCTCAAACATTGAAATGGCATCAGTCTCGAGATACATAGATGAGTCAGGCACAAGTCCTGTCCTCGCCAGTCTCCAGGCTAGAGGTGGGCTATAGAGAGGTGGTCCCTATGGTGGTCTTCCAGAGGGCTGAGGGAGCGCCAGCCCAGAAGGGGCTTTCAGAGCCCAGGTTGCTGGGGAGGGGTTTTTGAGAAGGCTTCCCAGCAGAGCTGGCAGGCTCCAAAGGAGACGGAGGTGTGCTGGATAGAGGATGAAGGGCATTCCGGGAGACAGAGCAGCTGATGCAAAAGCACGTGTGTCTTGCTGTGCGACCAAAGCCTGCAGGGGACGTGTGAGGGAGAGAGACGGGGCTGGAGAGACAGAGCTCAGCATCCCAACACTCTCTGGGCCACACCAAGGAATTTGGAACGTGTCCAGTGGGCAGGGCCATAGACCTGGAGGACACCTGTTTACAGGTGCTCCCTTCCAGCTCCTTTGCCCCCAGTCTCCTGTAACTTGTCTCAAGCTACAAGTTGCCATCTGATGCAACAGGGGTGAGGAGGCCTCAAGGGAGAGTGCGTGTCTCCTGCAGGGACCACGCGGGCCTGAATTCCCGGAGGGCCCGTAATGGGCTGGAGACTCCTGAGAAACAGCCTTGCAGCCTGGCTGCCCTCGTACTGGGCCACGGGCTAACGGCTTTGGTCAGAGGATGGAGTGGAGATTGAGAGGGAAGCTGCCACATTTTGGCATGCTGGCATTTTGTTTACTCAGTCCTGGGCCGTCTGTCCATCCATCGGTCTGTCAGTCCACTCGTCCATCCATCCAACTTCCTGCTCACCTGTCCGTGTACTCGTTCAGTCCACAGCCCCTGATATGCCCAGCCCGCACACGCCCACCGGTTCACCACTCCTTCCATCGGGCCTTCACTTCACATCCGTCTCTTGTTTCTCTGTTCATCTCTGTTTATCCATCCATCCATCTGTCCATTCGTTCATCAGTCCAACTGTCCGCCCATTTACACACATCCATCCCAGTATTCATCCATTTACCTATCCGTGTTTTTTCTGTCTGTTCATCCACGTATCCACATAAGCCTTCTAAGATGAGTACTTACCAAATGCCCAGCCCTGTGCTCAGGTGGGTCTCTGCCTGAAATGTTACAGCCTGGTTCCCTGTGCCCAAACCTGTCTCAGCTCACAAGCTTACAGTAGGCAAAGGCCCACTGGCCAAGTATGATGGCCCCCCCCCCTTCCTGTTGCCCCCGCCCGACCCACAGGAGGTGCTGGAGCTGGAGCGGACCCTGGGCGGCTACCTGGTGGAGGAGCCCAAACCCCTGCTCTTCAAGAACAGTTACCACAACCTGCGCCTCTCCCTGCATGACATCCCCCATGCTCACTGGAGGAGCAAGCTGCTGGCCAAGTACCAGGTGAGGGCTGGGCTGAGGGAGGGGGAGGGCTGGCACTGGGTTCGGGGCACACTTGGGGATCTGCCCCGGGAAGACCAATTTCCCCTCCCAGGCTCTGCTCCTTCCTCAGCCCTGCAGCCTTGCCTCTCCATCTCCATCTGCCTTGCACACGCTGGCCACGCCCCCTCCCCAGTCGTCCTGAGGCACATCCCACATTCAGGACCGTGACAGCCACACTCGCACTCCCTCCCCCACGCACAGATGTCTGTCCACATCATCTTCAAGCACCTCTAAGAGCACTTACGCCTGGGAGACTGTCCAAACTTATCTACGATGGTTACATCCCTCCACCCACCCGTCTGTGACACCAGAGTCCCTTGGCTTCCCAGCCCCAGGCACACACACATGTGCACACACTCACACATTCAGACTTGTGCCTTCTTCCTGCCCTTTCTCAGCCGAAGGGTCCGTGACCAGCTCTTCCTCTGCCCATCTAGATGGAGAGGCCTGAACTGCTCCATCGAGAGGTCCCAGCCCCCTCCCCCGACACCGGGCCCTTTACCTACCTCCGCCTCCATACCCTGAGCATGGGGCAGGCTGGCCTTGTCTCCTTGACCCGGGCTCCCCTCCTTCCCCAGGAGATCCCCTTCTATCACATTTGGAGTGGCAGCCAGAAGGCCCTTCACTGCACCTTCACCCTGGAGAGACACAGCCTGGCCGCCACCGAGTTCGCCTGTAAGATCTGCGTGCGGCAGGTGGAAGGGGAAGGCCAGATATTCCAGCTGCACACCACACTGGCAGAGGTGAGGGCTGGTGGGGGCAGCCCGCGGACCTGCAGCTCACCCCACACACATCGCAGTGGAAATGCTGTCTCCCACAGCCCCCAAGTCTGAGCTGGGGCTCGGTCACGTTTTGCTAACAGCTGCCATTTGTAGAGTGCCGACTCCGTGTGTGACGTGTTCTGTGCCAAGTGACATAGGTTATCCCACTGGATCTTCACAGTCAGCAGGGAGACGTCCAGTGAGCCCACCTGGGAGGTGGAGAAGTAGGTTTCAGGGAGGGTAGGTACCATCGACCCCGTGTCCGGCCATTGCTTAGCCCCAGCCTGCCACTGTCCACCACTGTGAATCTGGATTGAGGTCCACAGAACCCAGGCCACTCGGGGGACAGTGCTGGACCCTCCCGATTGTGCAGGGTCAAGAGCACTAGATGCAGGTCTAGCCCCAGCTGTGCCACCCACTTGGCATGTGATCGTGGGCAAGTCACTCCCATTCTAGACTTCATTTTCCATGTGTGTGGACTGGCTCGGCTCCTCGGAGCACGTAATCTTGAGGCTGCATCACCATTCGCCCGGGGCAGTCCATCAGCCTGGTGTACCCCCTGAGGGCTGGGGGTCAGGCTCACAGCCCTGGCCCTCAGGATCTGACCCCCAGGGTGGAAAGCCTTGGACTAAGCAGCTGGAGCCTCTCCAGGGGAGCGAGGGGCTGAATGGAGGCTCCATTAGCTCATAGTTTCGACGCAGGAAGGCTACAGGGAGAGATGCCCAGCACCGTGCATGCGAGAACCCCTGCCCCTCTCACCCTTGACCCCTGCCCTTCCAGACACCTGCTGGCTCCCTGGACGCCCTCTGCTCTGCCCCCAGCAGCACACTCACCACCCAGCTGGGACCCTATGCCTTCAAGATCCCACTGTCTATCCGCCAGAAGATATGCAACAGCCTGGATGCCCCCAACTCGCGGGGCAATGACTGGCGCCTCTTGGCGAAGAAGCTCTCCATGGACCGGTGAGTGCTGGGACACGGGCCTGGCCCGCCCACACCATAGCCCACTTCCACTCCCCTCCAGTGCACTGAGTCTGAGACATGCGTTTCCCGAGAAGCGTGTGCTTATAGTCCTGGCCTGCGACCATCGGGCAAAGCTGGGCACCAGCTAGGTGTGCTCGCCGTCAGCACCCCGGTGCCCAGGACAAAGCAGGTGCCCTGGAAATGCAGGTTGATGCATCAGAAATTTCCCGGAGTACTTAAAATGCTGGATAAATACAATGGCAATAATAATCATTATTAATGATGTTATGCTTATTGAGACTCCATTTAACAAAACTGCATGGAGCAGATGCCACTTTTAAGACATCTTTTTAGAGTGCTGACTAGTGTGGCTTAGTTGGTTGGGCTCCCTCCTGCAAAGTGAAAGCTCACTAGTTTGATTCCCGGTCTGGGCACATACCTGGGTTGTGGGTTCGATCCCCCGGTTCCCCTGGCCGAGGTGCATATGAGAGGCAGCTGATCTCAATGTTTCCTTCTCACATCGATCTTTCTCCCTCCCTTCCCCTCTCTCTAAGAATAAATAAACACATCTTTTTTCTTAAAAAAAGACACCTTACTAGAAGTGGGTGGGATCCATGAAGCTGTCTAAGGCATTCTTCCTGCTCTCAGAGAGTCACGGGGATGAGAGCGGGCAGGGAGTGAAGGCAGGGGGAGCAGAGAATGGAGTTCCAGGTTTCGACAGTGTCCCCTGGGGCCGGTGTCTTTCAGTGATGATAATAAGATGATGAATGACAGTGAGCTAGACAGTTTCTCTTTTAAAGCTGAAGAGACTGAGGCTCAGAGAGATGCGGTAACTTACCCAAGGCCACACAGCCTGAAAGCAGAGGACCTGAGACTCAGACCCAGGACGGTGGGACCCCAGAGTCCACAGCCTTCCCACCTTTGGGTGCTCTCCGCACGCCCAGGCTTCTGGGAGGTGTCGAGCTTTTGGGCAGCCTGGCGTCCTTCTTCCCTCCGCCAGGTACCTGAACTACTTCGCCACCAAAGCAAGTCCCACAGGTGTGATCCTGGACCTCTGGGAAGCTCTGCAGCAGGATGACGGGGACCTCAACAGCCTGGCCAGTGCCTTGGAGGAGATGGGCAAGAGTGAGATGCTGGTGGCCATGGCCACTGATGGGGACTGCTGAGCTGCCCCAGACCGCGGGCTCACAGGGACTGGCAGGAGGTGGTTACGGGGAGTCCAGGCAGCTCCCCATGCTCAGCCTCCACGGCCCCCCAGCTCACAGCCAGAGTCACCCCTCCTGCTCCTCCCTCGCCCACCCCTGGACCACAACCAGCCTTAGGAATTCCGTGTACTCTGGTGTCAGGAGGACCCAGTGTTCCGTCCCCACCCCTGCTGTCTCTCCTGGCCTCAGACCTTCGTGCAGAAACCAGAGAGGGGCCGAGAAGCAGTGAGGGGAGCAAGGGGCGGCCCCCCCACCTCCACCTCCACCTCCACCCTCCACACGCAGCCCCGGGACCGCTGGGTTAACTTTGTTTCAGTCTTGTCCTTAATTTCCTTCCTCAGCTGTTGGCTTCTCCCTCCTCCCTAAGCCCTCTGTCTTCACACCGTTTTCCTCTTTGAAGAGTCGAGTACAGTTCAGACAGACTGCTTTCTCCTGTCCAAAAGCTAAAGGAAAGAAAGAAAGCTTCACACTGCTAGTGAGGCTCGAGGAAGAAGAAAAACACCAAAACCACAAGGGAAAAGAAAAACCCAGTTTCTTAGGAAACGCAAATGATTTATTATCCAGATATTTGGATAAGTCTTTTTAAGAAAAAAAGGAAGAAAATGAAAAATAACACAAAAAATATAGAAAACTCTTTTCTTGAGTGTGGATGAATGTGGGTGCATTCACGGTTCTGGCCAGGAGCGTGTCCGTGTGTGCTCGTGTGCATGTGCGTGTGAGACTAGGGAGAGAGGGAGACTGAACAGGGACACTTTGCTGCTAATGATTATTCCATCTCAGACTGAATTCTTACAAGTCCTCAGTTTCCCCAGTTGTACAGGCTCAGGTGGGGATTTAGCCATGGTACATGATTCCCTCTAAAATCTTAAGGAGACGCTGAATTCATAAAGCCAAGGAGCCCTGAGCGCTGGAGTGAGCAGGGCTCTCCCTCCCTTCCAGACTGCTCTGGGCCCTGGGAGGGACGCGAGGGACGCGAGGGCCGCCCGGGCCAGCCGTGCGCCAGGGAGACTGTTCCCAGCACCATGGTCTGGTGGCTCCTGGGAGGAGATAGGGCCCAGAAGCGGAGCCCTAGCAGAGAAAGAAGTGGGAGATGAGAGTCTCCTGTGGACACTTCTTCTGCTTCACCCTAAGGTGGGGCCAACCAGGACACCCCCTCCCAGGAGCCTCTAGAACAGGTAGGCTGGAGCAGGTTGGTATTCTTTTAAATCCCAGGAATCCAGGACTCACCCTTACCCCACCTGTCTCTTTCCACGAGACAGAAGGGGTGGACAAGAGGGGCCCTTCAGCAGCAGAAGCCTGAGCTGGGCCTCGGTGCGGCTTTGAGGAATGCGTTAGCAGCAGCCTCGCCGCCTGGGAGGCTGGGAGGTGGGTGGCCTGGCTGAGCTTTACATGCCCTCCCACCTGCCCAGAGTGGGGGAGGGAGGGTGGAGGGCAATCTTTTCAGCTCTGATCTCTGCAGGCACCTCCCCCCCTCTGTAGTCTGGGAGCTCCTGTGGTAGGTAACCTTTGAACAGGAAGGGTTGCCAGAGAGGAGGGGCTGGCACCCCTCAGCAGCCTATTCCAGGATGTTCTGAGGGGCCAGCAGGGTCCCTAGTCAGGGAGAGATACATCCCCGTCCCTTTTGAGCTGTCCGACAATGGGTGGGACCAGGCCTCTGGCACAGAGATTTCATCAAAGGCCTCACCACGGCACCCAGGCAAGGCTCACGCCAGCTCCCCTGCCAGGCCTGGGCACGGACCCTGGGCTTGCCCCAGCAGGCCCACAAACCTCCTCCAGAACCAGCCTGGGCACCACCAGCCTCTGAAAGTCTGGTCACCTGAGAGGAGAGCAGGGCTCAGGGCTGTAGTCCCAGCCGGCGTCCCTGCCCCGCTGTGGGATAGGCAGCATGGAGTCGAGGGCAGTCGAACCAGTGCCACCAGGGGCTCTGCTGGTGCCATGCCTGTCGCAGGCTCTGAAATGCCCACAGGCAGCTTGGAGTCCCAAGACCAGACCTCAGTCTTCAGCTTTGCCATTAAACTATGTGACCTCAGGCATAGGATGGCCTTCTCGGCCTCATTTCCTCTTTATCGCTAGAAGGCTTCAAAGCTGCTGTCCGAAGCCCTCTGGGTTCTGGCACGCCGTGGGTCTAGGCTTTGGGTGGGAACCCCAGTGGATAGAAATTCCTGCGGTCTGCCTGCCATGCTCAGAAGCTTGCTTGCTCAGTGCCTGCAAGGACTAGTCTGATTCCTCGGAATTGTGCGCCAGGGCCTGGAGCACAGGACCAGTTGGCGGGAGCCCCCTGGGATGGTCCCGGCTGTTCAGCTTTATAAGAAAAGCCAGGAGAGGGTTTAGTGTCTCCATCAATCTACCGCATGTGCTGTGACTACAGCCCCACGTGGCCTGCGTACCGACGCCGCGCCTGTGTGGCCCTCCCTGGGGTGTTTATGTCTGTCTCCGGGGTGTGTTGGTGCATGCGCACGTGTGCACTGCTCTGTGTGTGTGTGCTTTTATTCACATGCGGGCGCGTCAGGGCTCCCCTCCAGAAACGTGTCTCCACCTGTGTGAGAGTGTGCCATCCTTGAGTCCCAAGTTGGGACACCCAGAGGTCGGCTTGCCTGTTTTCTGCCCTCTCTGAGTCCATAGGGTCAGTCAGTGTATCTTCTACGTGCCTCTCCCTCCGCCTTCTCTTGAAGTGCCCAGGATCCAGAGTCCCGGCCGGGGGTCCTTCTGAGGGCGTGAGAACCCTCCTGTCTCCAGGACGACATGGGGCCTCCTGTCCCCTTCCCCCAGCAACCAGGCAGCTGAGCCAGGTCCCTGAGCAGGCCCTCTGAGGGGAGGTGACTCAGGAGCCTGGGGTGAGGGAGTAGCTCTCCTGGGGGCAAAGGGCTGGCCCCCCGGCCTGGCCACGGGCGTGGCTACGTGTCCCAGGGCTGCAGGGCTGCGGGAATGGCCCTGGTCCCACCTCTGTTGATTCTGTAAACTACAACCTGTAAATAACATTTAGCATTCCTATTGTAACAAGATTAATTTTTATGAAATAAATTATATTTCCTAGTCTAATAAAAAACTCCAGGTTGTATTCTGTGGTCTTCTGGACTGTCTTTCTGTCAACCAATGGGAGTGACCTTCCTGCTTTTTTCAAAATTCCAGGGGCTTGCGGGGTGGAGGGCTCCTGTCAGGACTCTGAGCTCCTGGAAATGGTCAAGCTCAGCTGCCTCACTGTGCAGAGGGGAAAGCTGGCCCCGAGAGGGCTGAGGACTCCCCATGGTCACACAGCAAGTTCAGGCCCGTGCTGGGTCTGGACCTCAGGCCCTGCTCCCAAGTCAGTGCTCTCAGTGCAAAAGCCTGCGAGGGCCGTGTTTGGGGGCCAGTCATTTGAGCCTCCTGTGGGCTTGGTGATGTGCGGCCAGGGTGGCAGGTGAGGCCCCCATGTCCCTGGCTGCCTGTGAGAGGTGCAGAAGCATGTGTCCCAGCCGGGGTGATACCGGGAGGTCAGTGCAGACCACTGCCCTGGGGCAGCAGAACTCGTGCAGGCGGAGAGGGGCCCAGGGCTCCCCTGGGCGGCCAGACAGGTGGCACACAGGACAGGAGCACGTTGGGGGAGAGGGTGCATTCCCACATGCATGGTAGCCCTGCGTTTACTGTGAGATGTGTCCAGCAGGTGGCAGTAAGGGGTCTTGTTCTAATAAAATCCCACAGGTGTTCGTTTTCCCACTGATGGAAGTGTCTTGAGGGGTCTTCTATTTCTAAGTGCACAAAGGTGCGAGACGACCGTCCTCAGCCCTGTTCCAGCTGGCCCTTCTGCCCTGTGGACCTCAGGTCTCTGTGAGGTGGGCCTGGTCCCAGCATTTCCCAGCATGCATTGCCCACTCTGAGTGGATTCCCTGGTCGCCTCAGTTTGTGGCGACAGCCCTCTCTGGCCCCGTCAGGGAGAGCCACAGTGCTCGCTAGCACGGGAAAGGCTCTGGGAGGCCCCACTGAGAAGCTGGCTCCCTCGTACTTGTACGGGTGCCCCACATGTATTTGGCCATGGAGCCCATTTCCACCGTTTTATGCTCTGCAGCGTGTGGTGCCTACGAGCCCTGCCAGCTCAGACTTTCGGGGCCTGTGTCTCGGGGGGCACACCGGGTACCACCTGACTGTCCCCCCGGGGGTAGGGAGCACCTGTGGCCTAGGCCCTCTGGGAACTCATGGCCTAGTGGGGCAGGCAAGGCCCTTGCACCTGTACCGGCACCAGCTCGGATGGTCATCGTTCCCCGGGGACCCCGAGTGTCTCCAGCCATCACCGCATCCCAGTGGGTCAGGCAGCGTGGGTGCAGAGGAGGGGCAGCTGTGAGAGTGTGCGCGAGTGTGACGGCCAGCATGGGGGACGGAGCCTGCGGTGGGAGCAGCAGCCCAGGGGGCGGTTATTTTACACGAGCAGCTCCCACAGGCAGGCAGCCGTCGGGTCCTCCCCAGAGTGAGAGGTGCCCGTTTAAACCCCCCTCCCCTTTGCCACCATCTGCGCTGGAGGACCCTCCCTTGTCACCTGTTCCTTGGGGGCAGTGTGTTCAGAGTTCTGGCCTGGGAAGCAAGGGACCTAAGTTCTAGTCCTGATTCCGTTCAGGTCACGGTCCTTCCCTCGGTCTCAGTTTCCCCATCCGTAAGTGTGGGCTTTAGACCTGCAGCTCTGCAGGGGCCCTCTGGCTGGCGTTCCAACATCTGGGGGGTGCTGGTTCTGGGCAGGGGGTGCTGTGACAGCCCCACCCCGTGGGCCCTCCTCTTTCACAGTCCCGGGAGTAGGTGAGGAAAACCCAGTTGTGAGCAAAAGATGGGCTGGTTCCTATCCTGTGGCCAAGTGGCTGCTGCCCAGGAAGGTGACACAGCTGGCACACACGCCCAGTCGGCCGGCCCGGCACAGCTGGCAAACTCCGGGTACCCACCGTTGCCCGTGGAGGGCTGCTGGGCGGGCAGCCCACTGCCCCCTCCTCCACCAGGGGCCTCAAGAAGAGAAAGTCCATTGCAATTCTAGTTTAAGGTCGGACACAGGAAAGCCTCATCCAGTTCCCTTTAACAAAGTTTTAAAAACACTGCTGCCCCCTTTAATTAAAAATATATTGTAATACTTGCCTATGGCATAAAAATTTCAAAAGGCATGAAAGCATAGAAGAAAAGCAGATCTCCCTCGTCGCCCTCCCCCACAGAGGCAGCCATGGCACTCACATCCTCTGAGAAAGATCTATGCAGAAACAAGCATATTTGTGCATGTAAATATTTAAATATAATGGATTTGATCCAAGACTCTCAGCCCCTCGAGGTATAAACATGAAATAGTTTTATTTTCCCAATAACTGTTTGGAGCTTCATTTTGTCAACACTGACGTGGGCTGTCCCCGAGGAGAGCCAGCTCCCTTAACGACGTCTCCGTGGCGGTCTCGGACTGTTCCCTCCCTTGGTGTTACCAAGACAGTCTCATTCTGGTTGCTAAGTCTCCACCCATCCATCTTTAACTAAAGCCCTCAGAGCTCCCCACACAGGTCACTGGGGTGCCCTGGCAGCCTGCTCTCCACGCCCCACTGCCACTGTTCCCCTCTCTTCTCAGACTCTCCCAACAGACAGACCTCCCTCCCTCCTGACCTCCTCCCTTGTCACTTGACGGAAAGGCTGTCCTCAAACCTGATGTCACTTCCTGCGAGGCACAGGCAGCTCAGCCGAGCCTTTTTTGAACTGGGCCCCAGAGAACCGAGGGACCGTTCTCCAAGGGACGCTGTTCCTGACATAATCCCTGCCCTGGGTACCACATTCCAGGGGCGGGAGGAGCTCCCAAGTCCTCATTTTCAAAACAAGCTGGCAGGGCGGAGCATGTGGTTCCTCACTCACTGTCCAGCAACTGACTTGGCACATTGTGTTGGTCATTCCATGGTGCCAGGGCTGGGTCCGCACTGCCCTCAGAGCCCACAGTCTAGGGAGGAGACGGGAAAATGGGCAGGGAGGCGTGGAAGCTCAGGAGGGCCCTGAGTCAGCCTGGGGTCCAGCAAGCCTTTTTAGAAGGGACGCTATTTTAGTGCACAAGTTGGTTTCCCTGGCACATAGTTCTCGGCACGTAGTTCTCGATAATGTGTTTTGTGGGAGATGCTTTTAGGCAAAAGTTTGCAGCAACTTGCTTTTGTGAAATTTCTTATGAAGCCAAGATGTTGGTGTCCTTGTAGCAGATGTGAAGGCTGCTGTTTGCAACAGGGGCTGACAGAGTCTGAGGGTGCTGTTTAGGTGTGTGGGGGGCAGGGGGATGAGATGGTGTCCTCTGGTGACCCTAGCCTGGGACACGGGGGAGCTGGGGGAGGGGCACTGGTGAGTCACTGCTATTCTGGCAGCCATGGGGGTGGTGGAGGGGGGGTGGAGCTGCTCGGCCCAGGCCTCACTGAGGGTGACTTCAATGTGCTCATCCCGGTTCCTTGGCCTAAGAAGCTTTCCCCCAAGGAGCGGGTCTAGGACACCTGGGAATTCGGTCAGTGTTTACTGATCTAATCCATAGATGGGCACAGCCCAGGGGCAGGGCCTTGCCGAGCCCAGCCTGGCCAGCTACCAGCAGAAAAAGAAGCGAATCCCACGGCTGGTCTGCCAGGACGGAGAAGCAGCCAGCAAGGATGGTGCTGGTGGAGCAGAGGGAACAGGACAAGGGGGTCGGGTGATTCCAGCTGCCCACCTGGAAGGTGGTGGCATTTAGGCAGGTAGAGATGGGTTGGCATGGAGGGCTGGGCCCAAGGGACCACCAGGTGGTGGGAATGGCATGATCCCAGGCTGGGGTGAGAAAGCCCACAGTGAGGAACGTGGGCTGCTGGGGTCGGGTGGTGAGGATAAGTCGGGGGGAGGGGGCAGGCAAGGCCAGAGGCGCCTTGCTGACCCAGCTCCTGTAGGGATATAACCCCTTTAAGACCACCCACTGTAGCCTGGCTGGTGTGGCTCAGCAGCCTGAGAACCAAAGGATTGCTGGTTTGATTCCCAGTCAGGACACAGGCCTGAGTTGTGGGGCACTGAGTTCAGTGCCCCCAGTCAGTAGGGGGCACTGAAGAGGTAACCACACATTGATGTTTCCCTCTTTCTCCCTCCCTTACCCTCTCTAAAACTAAATAAATAAAATCTTTTTAAAAAAGACCACCCACTCTAGATTCACATTGATCTTCGCAGTGTTGGGACTGGCCATAGAAGTCCCCCACGCCAGGCCTGAGGGCTTTGTCCACAGGCCAGGGGTCAAAAACAAATGTCTCTGGTACCCACCCTGCTAGGTCACGGGAATGAGAGAAGCAGCCACATCAACACTTCTCAGGCAAGAAATGTGCCCTCTTGGCTGTTTCTTAAAACATAAGCCTGTCTCAGCACATCGCTCACTTCCCACTTTCGTTGGCATCACGGGTCTGCACCGAGTGAAACGGGAGGGTAAACATTCTGTTAGATGTCTTCCTGTGTTTGGCGTCAGCGCAATAGGGGAGCAGCAGGGAGAAGTGGGGACTGTGGCTACCTGGAGACCACTTGGCCCGCCCGCCAGGAGGGGAAGCCCATACCCCTGGCTCAGCCCATGCTGCCAGGCGGGAGTGCGTGCCTGCACTGCTCCATCCTCCTGCTTTGAGAAATCAGAGATCAGGTTTAAAACGTATGTGTGAAATCACTCCCTATGTAATCGTTGGCTTATTTCTTTTTAAAAACTGTGTAGGTCAAACAAGACCCCCCAGTTTGTGGTCTGCTGGGCTGCGGGGAGCTGAGGCAAGGTTTTGGAGGAGGGGAGGGTCAGGTTTGGGGCTGTTCTGATTCAGGGGTTCACTGGCTGGGACAGGCCCCAAGGCCCCAGCCTCTCTACAGACGGACAGACTGTCGAGGGGCCCCTCCCTGCGCACTTCTTTCTCCTGGTTGCATCAGAGGGACCGCAGCCCTTGCTCCAGCTCCCCTCCTGCCTCTCTCCATAGGATGGAGGCCTCGGCTTATCCACTTCCCAGGAGCCTCTCCTCTGCCTGATAAAACCAGAGTAGGGCTGGGCTGCCAGCGCCCCAGGTCCCAGCAATTCCCCTTCTACCAGGTGCCCGGGGACAGATGCCCAGGACACACACC